TACTAAAATTAAATAGATGTCCTCGTCTGTTTATTTTTCTAATTAATTCACCTAATCGAAAATTGAGATTTAAGAGGATGTCCTCGTCTTCTTATTTATTCTTTTGTGCTTTTGTTTTATTTATTCGTCCAATTTTGTTTTTAAGTGTCTAAATTTAAGGTAGCCAAATTATGTGCCTAAGTGTATTGTGCTTAATTGTGTTATGTATTTAACTTGAGTATTTTGCCTAAGTGTACTAAGTACACTAAAATTCGGCCCAATTGCAGTCACTTTGTTTTAACCCAAACATAAAGAACGTAGCCCAGCAGCAGCCCGACCCAACTTTCAACTTAGATCTATGTCTTAATTTATTCTTTTGGCCCAAGAAGCTCATTTCAGCCCAATTTCAGTCCCAGCGGCAGAAACCATACAAATCATCTCTCTCTCGTCTCCAACCCGTCATCTATCTCTCAGCCCGTCAGCCGCAAGACGAGAGTCCCTAGCTCAACGGACTCCATGAAATCCGGCGAATCTTCCAAAGTAGCAACCCTAATTTTTCCCATCTATTTAAGAAGACAAGCATCAACAGCCTCTCATGGATTCTCCACTCTAGTATTTCGTCAAATTATTTTCCTTCAGAAAATTTGACCAAAATCTGGCAACTCGAGAGCGGGAGAACACCAGGAACCCCGACGACCGGCGACGCGAGGCAGAGAATCGCGAACAAGCAACAATGGCGGAGCTTCTTCTGAGTTCGAGCCACGATCTCAGACCTCCGACTTCCAGTCAGAACGGCGACCCTCGACCTTTGACGGGGCTTCGACTTTCGCGACTCTTTCCGGCGAGCAGAGAAGTAGTCGAGGGCTGACTCTTCACGGCGAGGACGAGCCACCAGCGGCGAGGACGAACCATCACTGTTGAATTGCAGCGACCAAATCGAGGCTAAGGCACCGCTTTTCGATTGACTGGGGCAGCGAGTTCCGGCAGGGAGCAAGAGAGCAGCCGGGGAGAACTGAGAGCAGAAATCCTGGTTGAACCAAACCATCATCGTCCGAAATCAAACACGACCAGCCGTGGGCAACTGCTGTTCAACCGCCGACGTTCGAGCCATTTCAGACAGCAACTATGAGCCGAGGCAAGTCCCGTTCACGTTCGTTTAGCAACGTCAGGTTGCATCAGCACCCCATCGGCCTCCGTTCAGCGGCCGAACATCAACAACACTCTCCGCCGGGCTTTCTTTATTTCTAGTAGTAGTGTTCGGGGTGTCCGTCGGTCGTTGCTCGCCTAACAGCAGGCCGTTTACTCAGCCGAACATCCACGCACGAGCAGCAGCCGGGAGTTTCTTTGGCCGAAAGGCCGTTCATCAAAACTGAACCCCTTTTTTTCTCTGTTTTGAGTCCCGAGGAAGGTACAATTGTTGAACCTTCATACCTCTGTTGTGGCCAAAAATATTTGGTTATGTGCTTGAATAGTATGCTGATAATGTCCCGATTATATGTTGAGATTTTGAATTTTCACATGTTTAAGTTAAAGAGTAAGGGAGACTTTGTGTGATGTTTCTGCCATGGCTAGTCCCATACTAATTGTTGAGGTTCATGAATTTTGATTCCTTGTGGGTACTGGATTAATGTGATGCCCTTAGCAGGTTGTATATGGAGATGTTTGAGAGGTTTAACCTCAGTGCATATGGCCTTTATGTGTTTTTAGGAAATTGAGCACAAGAATGAAGGAATAGAAAGCTACAGAATTGTTGTTGTTTGATTCCCCTTTTTGTTAAATTGTTAATGTGTCTATGTGCTTATTTGTGACCAAAATATTATTTAATGTAATGATATGATGTTGGTTTTTATAAAGGCTGAAATTTATGTATGGTTATAGTATTATATTTAGTTTTATTAAGCCTTTAACATGTGTTGCATGATGGAAATAAAGGAAGTGAAAGATGCATATTATTTGAGAAATAGGAAAGTGAAATGGGCATATGATGTTGTGTTGTGAACCTTGGACCTCATATTATGGCATTTTTTTATTGGTTGCGCTTTGGTCTTGTGAATAAGACGTTTGTTTAGTGTTCCGGGTTCAATCATTGAGGAAATGGTTCCATACGGGTGAATTGTTTTTAGAAAAGAATTGAAGTGTGAAGGCTAGTATACTGATTTAGGCGTGTTCTTTACCTGGTTAATTGTTATTCTTGTTTGTGTGTTATGCTTGTTGTTGTTGTGTGGCTTAATCAAGCGAATCAAAACCCTTATAATAATTAAGTCCCTAATTTTTAGGTTTGAGGAGTCGCCCTCGACCTACGCTCTTCAGCTTCTGTGCTAATTTCCTACTCGATGCTCAGGTGGGTTTTGAAAAATTGGCTACGCTGTAAATGTTAATATTGTTATTATTGTTTTACTTGTAGTATGATCAAAGTATGCATGTGGAACATGTAGACTTCGATGGGAGCTGTAACGGTCGTCGAACGGTTATTCCCGTAACTATAGAACGACACCAATGAGGTAATCTCCTCTTTATGTCCTTGTGAAGGACACGTCGCTTGAGACCAGGGTCGTTCTCGGTCAGCGATAAGTACCCCGATGTAAGTCCGATGTCGAGGCCGGGCCTTCGGGGGAGACTCCTACTGGCTGGACACTCGTTGTAAGACCAGAAGACCGAGGGCCGTGGCTTTCGATATATAGTCGGCAGTAGTCTATTGATATAGGTGTGCACATGAGAACGAACTTGGGATAGGATGTTGGGATAACTAATTAATTTCGTATACATGCTGTGACCATACTTGTTTTATTTATGATTAATGTTTACTGCATAGTGGTGAGCACTACTGTTTCCTTTTGTGCTCATCCCCACCTGCTCTTCATGGATGCAGGTTAGTATTGCGGGCACGACAGAGGAGGTGAGTGGTGGTCATGTTATTGGTTTTATTTCCGCTGCTATGAACTGCTTAGTATTGTTTTACTGCATTTTTGGATTTATGATGATTACCAGATTATTGATAGGAAGTGTACTCCCTAGTATTTATGCATTTGTGAAAACCCAGATTTTGGGAGATTAATGTTATTGTTGAACCCGGTTTGGGTGTTGATTTGATTTATGAACCCGTTTGGGAGTTATGTTTTTGATGTAATGGAAAATGGTTTTTCAATTAGTTGCGCCGCCAAGTGTTTTTAGAAAATAAATTTTGGAAAATTTATTCTGATTTTCGTTAAACAAAAGTGGGGCGTTACATAGGTGGTCTTCTCGTTATTTCGACTTTACCACCACATCTTCAACATAGCACTCGATGTTCTTATGGAGTATGTCTTCAAAGATCTTTTGCATTGCCCTTTGATATGTTGCTCTAGCGTTATTCAAGCCGAATGGCATCACCTTATAGCAGTATATACCCTTTGGAGTGCGAAATTCCGTCAACTCTTCGTCTTTTGGCGACATGCGTATTTGGTTGTATCCCGACGAACCATCCTTAAAAGACAACCCTTCATGGCCAGTCGTACCATCGATCATAAGTTTGGTTATAGGCAATGGGAAATCGTCTTTGGGACACGCCTCATTAGGATCTCGAAAATCCACGCAAACTCGAATTTGGCCATTTTTCTTCCTGACAGGAACGATGCTCGAGATCCACGTAGGATATTTAACTTCACGAATGAATCCAACTTCAACGATTTTATTTACTTCTGCCTCGATCAATGGGATCAACTCAGGTCGGAATCTCCGTTGTGCTTGTTTAACAGGTTTTGCTCCCTTTCTCACGGACAAGTTATGCACCGCCACCTTTGGGTCTAGTCCAGGCATCTCCTTATACGACCATGTGAATACATCCTTAAACTCACCAAGACGCTCTATGTAGGCCTTTTCTTCATCTACAGTTAGCAAGGCACTGATGTACGTCGGGCGAGGATCGTCAACATCACCCAAGTTGATTTCTTTTAGTTCATCGACCGTGGCCTTAACACCTTCTTCAAGATCGGAGGTGCGTCTTCAGCATTTTCCTCCTCTATTGGAGCATCCTTGCATATAGTGATATGGTTCATAGGTGCAATATCTTCCGTCGGCTCACCAAGAGCTTTGAAGTCGATACATGCTCGCACCCGTCCATTTCTTCTCGTGACAAATCGTGTTTGCACATTTTCATCAACTCCAGCGATATACCTTTTTCTCACCAAATAAGTTATCTTCCGGTAAAGAGAACGTTCATCATTTGGAGGAGTTGTGAGAGTACCGCAAGCATAGTAAGACAAAGCGACACTTTCTCTATCATCATCTTCATCATCATGTACTCTTGTATGAACGATTGAGTGCATTTTTGCTTTTAAAACTTAACCACATGATACGATCAAGGTAGTTTGACGTTTCATACGTGGCGGAATTAGACTTCTAAGATTTTTAGCCGGGCTTACACCTTTTTCTTGTCTTAAAAGGCTTTGACTGCTTGAAGGATCCCAGTCGTTGAAACACAGATTGTTTGCCTTTTGACTTTCACACCGGACCGAGTCTTTGAAACACCGACACTCTTTTCTCTTTCTTTTTACTGCCAGAAGACAAGAACTCTCCTTCCGAGACATGGTTGGAGTTTGCTCTCTTGATGGCGATTCTAATTGGACTCGATGCCACATATCCAAGACCTTCCCGGTTGTGCTTTTGCTCTTGAGGTATGAGCTTTTCCAAAGAGCGACTTTCATTGGGATTGTATCCTGCTTTGACGAGAAGCTTGTAGGCTTTTGGATCAAAACACTTAGAGTTCTTCAATCCATCACCATGCTCCGTCACAGCTCCTTTTCTTGGACGAACAAAGTTCATGGGTGGTTGGGAGATAGGTTTCTCATCATCTACCTTCGGCAGCGGCAACGCTAACTCTTTTAAAGAGTTTTCTACCTCTTCAATCTTTGATTCTTCACTTTCAGACCCTTTATGCTGCTTAGACGAGACTTTCTCAACTGGTTTTGCATCATTGAAATAGTATTTGGCATCAGCGAAATGAGTTTCAGCCTCCGTAAAAGGTTTATCATCACCAAGCACAGTCTTCACAACGCCATTTTCGCAATATTTGAAGCATTGATGCCATGTGGAAGGAACCACTGTAACGCCCCACTTTTATTTGCCAAAATTCAGGATAAATTTTTCGAAATTTATTTTCAAAAACAATATTTGAGGCGCTACTTATTCTCAAATCAATATTCAATACTTATCAATCATCAATACTCATTCATCAATAATCAATAATCCCAATAATCAATAATCCAATCTAAGCATTCCAATAATCAATATTCTAGGGAATACACTCCCTATCAATAATCCAATAATCAATGATAGAGAAAACAATAATAGCAATATACAATTCAAGGCGGAAGCAATTACAATAATATAACGACCACCACTCGCTTCCCTCCGTCGTGCCCGCAATACTAACCTGCATCCATGAAGAGCAGGTGGGGATGAGCACAAGAGG